ACCTGGCATTGGAGTACATAGCAACGGATAACAAGGTTATCCTCCAATGGATTAAGGGACATAGCGGTTCTGTTGGTAATGACGAAGCCGACGAACTAGCTAGAAGGGGATCATCACAGAGAGTGGAAGGCCCTGAGCCACTTCTGCCATTACCTTTCAATCAGTTTCGTACATGGGTGCGGCAATGAACCACACAGAACCATAACACCTGTTGGGCCTATACCGGGGGCTGCAGGCAATCTTTTTTTTTTATTATTTGCAATCAGTCTTTGGACTATGAGCAAATTTATTAAGCGCAACCAAACATGACAGGAGTGGTCGGCCAGCGCCACCACTTCCTTTAAAGAACATTCTTCCTCCTCAGTCAGGGTGAACAGGCATGCCAGGAAGGTGATACATTTTCTAGGAAGTTCTTTTAAGACCAGTGTTGAAATGAGGTCGAAACCAGGCGCCTTTTTCGTATCGAGTAATTTAATTTCTCTTGCAATTTCTTTTGGGGAGGCAGGTGTCAGAGGCAGGCATAGCTGGAGATCTTGACCAAGAACCGTTTCAACTTCAGTTTCATCCTCTAGAGCATCGTTAGGCTTAAAAGTTGTGGCAAGATGGGTAGCGAAAACTTCAGCTTTCTCTGCATTTGTTTTTGCCCAGGAAGTAGAAGACGATCTAAAGGGCGGAGTGCATTGCATTGGTTTTCCAACGATCCTCGTGTTTTTATACAGAGAATATTCGCCTTTACCATGTGGTGACATACTTTCCAATTTTTGTTTGATATTGGCATTCTTAGTTGCCTCTAGAACTAACTTTAGGTCTTTTACAGCACGATTAAACACCTTTTTGTCGACCTCTTTTCTAGTGGTTGGTGCCATATCCTTCGCAAACGGCGCTTTTCTAAAATTTTCTTTTTTATTTCGGAGGAAACTAATATGTTTTGTGGGGCATGCTCAACATACGGGGTACTTTTCCAAGCAGCAGTCTGAATCACATTTGTGACATGCACACAAGCAGCATCCACATCTTCTTGGGATTTAAGTGACATCCTAAAGTTAAGATTGGTATCTATATAAGAACGAAAGCATTGCCAGTCGGTCTTATCAACCGTCGGTCTTGTCAAGGTTTCAGCCTGTTTTTCGGACATGATGACAGATGCGCTCAATGTTAATATTACCGGGGTATGATCAGAGCTCCCATCTAAGCTAGATTCTACGCAGGTATATAACTGACTTATGTTTTTACTAACGAAAAAGTCGAGGAGATCTGGAAGTCTACATTTGTCTGCTGGCCAGTAGCTGGGTTCTCCAGTGGATTTTGCCATTAGGTGAGAAGCACATAGACTTTTTCTCAGTTCACGACCTCTCGGTAGAGTGATGCGAGAACCCCAGAATGTATGCTTGGCGTTCCAATCACCGCCTGCAATAAATGTGTTGCCAAGAGTTTCGAAATATGCCTGGTACATTTCTTGTGTAATCTTATGCTTCGGGGGACTGTATACAGCGGATAGAATAAATGATCCCGTTCGATCCTCTACACGTACAGAGGTAGCCTGAATGTGGTATGTTGAGTATCCTTCCAATGGCACGTGTTTAATGTTCGATCGAATGACTAGCGCCGTGCCAGCATGAGCTCGGCCATCGGGGTGCGGCGTGAAATATATTTTGTAGCCTTTCATCTGGAAGTTACTTTTATTTACTGCATGAGATTTCGATATAAGGGCCACATCTAGTTGATTAATGGACAACATGTTTTCCAGCTCGCAAATGTTCGGAGACAGCCCATTGATGTTCCAGGTTGCAATGCGGATATTTAGGAATTTGGTTGAAGCATGGAGATGAGAGTTGTCAATAGGTTCATTAATGTTTCTATTTGTTGAATGAGTAGATCAAGTTTTTCTCCTTGCTTGATCATGATTCGCTCCATTGTAGGGTATTGCTGCTTACTTTCACTATCATTAGTTGGGTGTTTGACTGATTTGACATGTGTTACTTCCGCGTAAGTCCTCCTAGCATTCGTATATTTGTGGGTGTTTGTTGCGGTCTTGTTTTCCTCGAAGCTTTTAACGTTATTTAATGTTGTCTTTCTGTTAGGTTTTATAATTGGGTTTGTGTTGATTTTGTTGGCAGTTTTTCTAGAGATGATTTCTTTATAGACCTCCTTTATAGTTTGCTTTGCGAGAGAACACAGTGCACACTTAGCTGGAGTATTTCTGTCTTTTTTAGGACAATCGCTGGTTTTGAGCCCTTCGCCGCACTTGACACATCTATAAGGCCTCAAGCAGTTATTTTTTGAGTGTCCATACTGTTGGCATCTTTGGCACTGGACTATGGTTTTAGACCTTCGTGGCTCCTCTATTTTAACCTGTTGGTGATAAATGTGCTGTATTGCTTTCAACTCTTTGTTTTGCTCACAGGGTGCGACGTTGACGAAGAAAGTGGAAGTAGGTTTTTTCTCTGGCCCATACCGACAGTTTATGACTTCTCCAACAACTTTGTTTCCCGTCTTCTCTATCACTTCTACGATGGCTTCATGAGGAGTCGTATGATGAAGGTTTTTAATGACAATGCGAAAGCGTTTGGTGTCTTTTCTAGTGAAAGTGTGTCCTATTAGTCCTCTTTGTCTTATAAGCTCTATGACTTTTTTATAATTTTCAACAGAGTCAATCATAACTCGCATCAGGTTTCCGTTTATAATTTTGTATGTAAAGGTATCCTTATCTACTACTGATGTTATTAGTTTCAATAGCTCATTTACGTCCTCTATGCCATAGAGTATAATTGGAGACGGTCTACTTGGATTTTTTGGTAAAGATGGTCTATCTTCAGGTGTATCTACCGGCAGGTTGCTGAAACGATTTTGGGTTTGAGTTTCAGTAGGAGGTGGAGAGAAACAATACTTCCGTTTTTTGGATCCAGGAACTCGTTGCCACAAAGGAGGCGGTTGGTCTGTTTCTGGTGTTTGAACAGCGGTTACATCTATTTCCGTTTGGATATCTTGAGCAAGTTCGCTACACGAGTATGATCTGCAAGCAATCTAAGGATATTTTTCCCAGCCTCAACCTCAGACTAACTAGAAAACTACTAAATCTCAACTGAAGTGATCTCCGAGTAATGCTAGGCACCATAACAGGGCACTGTCTACTTAACAAGCATTTACTAACCATACGCGTTACAGATAGCTCTCTTTGCAGAGGATGTCTGGAAGCAGATGAAACGGCTGCTCATGTGATCCTGGTTGCAGAACACCGGAACGAACATCAATCCTCAGGAAGCCGAGGACGCTCTCCTAGAAGCCTGTGAGAGCCTCAGGAGTCTACTGCGCTTCTGGAAGGAGCTGGGCTGGCTGAGCTAGCTAGCCCAACATACCCTGCACGCACAATGGACCAAGTACGGAGTCTACGTGCGGAAACGGGGGCCCACAATAAGTAACAAGTAAGGTCGTAGTGATGGTGGAATATTTCAGACAGTGGATACTAAATAATAATATTCCTGATGACTTTCATTTACTCCACGGTAATAGTGGCTCTACATTTCCTTGTTACCCTGTAGCTGATAATGCATTTCTGTTGAAAAGAAATATATTTAGACCATATCCACTACGTAATATATGCAACAAAAAAAGATTATTTAACTACAGACTAAGTCTAGGGAGGAAGAACATTGAGTTCGCTTTTGGAATGATGACCCAAATTTCAAGTGTTTTCTTGAAAAAATTATGTCACAATAAACAATATAATTAAAAGTGCCTGTGTACTTCACAATTTCATATGAATAAGTGAAGGAGTTGATTATGAAATCAACCAAACTGAAGATCATAATAATGCTGATGGTAATCAACAAATACATATTCCTGAATATGATGAACATCTTCAGATTGACAGAAATTCATCACCCCACCAGCTGCGTGATTATTTAACAAATTATTTTTTTAAACCCAATTATTCTCTTCTGTGGCAGTGGTGGCATTGTATAAAAGAATTTCTACTAAATAAAAAATATTGTTTACATACCTGTCCAGTTAATTTTTGACGATATTTCTACCCAAGCTTTCTCAGTTACATCTTTCCTAGAGTAATCACTTAATGAATTATTATATAGGCAAGGAAATATTTCGATTAGGCTCATAAATTCCATAACTTTTGCTGTACTCATTATATATTTTCTTTGTCGCTTCCTTTTTTACGCTAGTACACTATGACTATCATAATGACAATGAACACCTCTTACAATACGCTGCAACACCGCCTGTTGTGTGGACTTGTTTGAACATGTTCCTGCTAGTATTGCTCTCGATACGTTCTACGATACGCTTACGATACGACACCATGTGCAAAAGGGCTAATTTTTTTTTGTCTCATTAAAAATAGATCTGCATCGAGAACATTTTCGTGCTATGATTTTTTACAATTTTAAATGTGGCTTAAAAGCTAATGAGTCATATGATCGATTTTGAACTGCTTTTATGGATGATTGACCTTCAAAAGCAACCATCTACCGCAGGTGTAGCAAGTTGTGGTTGTCTTACTTTTTGGGGATGAACAAAGGAATGGTCTTTCTATGACGGCTGTCACCGAAGAAAGTGTGCAGACAGTAAAAAAAATAATTCCAGAAAACAGAATAAATAAATAATATAAATATCAAATATCCCTATTTTTTGGAAGCTTTTCATATAACATTGTTCAAAGACCATTTCTTAGAATTTAAAAAATTCTATAATAAGGATGAAATTCCAGTTGATCTACCCATAAATGATTGTATACAATTGTTATCTATTGCTCTACTAGTACACTAGTGCTTATAATCTCAAAGGAACCTAAAAAGTCATAGTAATGAAAAAAGTACCCTAACTATTATACAATATAAGAGCGGATCATAAGCTGATTAATAACTCACGGAAGATTATGTAAAATGCAAACAAAATTAACAAAACTTCACTCTGACCTGAAAAACTGAACCAAAGGTAATCATGTCTTAAAGATTTCTTAACAATATTAAAAGTTAGAGTTATACCTGACTCTTCAGCAGCAACTTCAGATTCTTGACTTGTAACATTATTCTCAGAAATATCAGGGATTGTGTCCGGTGGTTGGTTTTCGGCTAAAGGCGATACTTCCGCGCCATCGGCCATATCACTGTGCAATGCAGAGTCTGATTCCATTTATACAAACAATTAACTCTCACACAATTAATACACTTTGGAATATTGATATTTACCAAATATCACACAGAAACAAAAGGCATTTTAGGAAATAACGTAAAAATTAAATTATTTTTGACAATGTCAAGTTGGTTGTTCGTTTGGCGTCGTGATTTTTTTTTGTTGAAGTTCTCCCGTTTTAGGGAAGGCAAAGGGAACAATGCCCATACAGCCTAGTCTTTAATTTAATTAATCTTCTTTTGTTTTTAGATTAGAATGTCGGTGTGACGCGTTCTAATGTTTCCTGGAGTGTTTGGCACGAAATCGAGTTGGCTTTTTCGATAAGCTTCTGTGAGGTAGTCAACACTACAATAAAATTCTCACGTCTACTTGACCGGAATAGCGTATATTTTAACGATTCCACTAATTCTTCAGTTACGCAGACAGTTGTTACACAAAACCACACCAATTTTATTTCACAATATCCACTATGAACGAATTTAAGAATAATGAAAATAAGACGCCAACCGCACTCGATGAAATCCCGCCAAAAACCTCGTGATAGGCATGCGTCCGATATATCAAAACGAATCCAAAATCCGATTTCAAACACAAATCGATACCGAACGATTTCTCAACAAGAAAATCCGATTTCAGAAATCTAACCGAACCAAAACGCTAGCGATCTAATACCATAAGTATCCAAATGTAAATCGGATTCGAAATTCGTGCTTTCGTTTTCGGAAGTCAGATTTCGTGCTCGGAAGTCCGATTTCGATTTGCTGTTTACGGAAATCTATTGCTCTTCTCTGAGGCGGGATTATTTATCACTAAAAAGATATGTCGTCTAAAAACATCAAAAGTCGAGCAACTTACATTTTTGGACGCTAACCTGAAGTAATTAGGTTTGATTTTGTAAATGGTTTGAAAAATAATAAAAACAAACAGAAAAACAAAAAAAAAATACTAAAAAAATATGTAAAAAGAAATCATTGTATATAAGTCGATTTTTAAATGCGCCGCAAAAGTTTTACTCTTAACCGTAAACATAACTTTTCTGCTAGTCCTAAGCGAAAATCTACGAGTATTCTTGCTTCCTACAATTAATTGTTTGTGATTGTCGTTAGCTAATAAAACCAAATCAAACACAAACTAGTGAATTGGCTAAGTTTGGCACATCTGAAATCGGATATCTAAAAACGGATTTTAAAATCGATTTTGAAATCTGAAATCCGATAAATATCCGTTTGCGTTCAAAACCAAAAACGCCCATGTCTACCTCGTGATTTTTTTTTGACAAGTAGTGACAATTACTTTATTATTTACTCTCTCTTTCTGGGAAGGCAAAGGATATTAAGTCCATAGTCCATTTCATTTTACCATAGATATATAGATTGAACATTTTACATTATAGTGCATTGAGCAACGCGGCCAACGCTCTGAGTACTGAAACCTATGGAGATGGCAAACCTATGAAAAAAATGTATACATAAGTAACTAGTTTCTAGGAAACGACAATGGCGCGTTTCCATAATGCTGTCCCAAGGCTACCCCATTGTATATATCAATATCTTTATAAAAAAAGACATATAAAGTAAAAAATTAATACTATTTTTGGAAAAGGGTGTATTTTTTATATGCAATTGGAGTACTTTTAAGGACGCGGCATTAAAAAATATACTCCTATTTGAAAAAGAGTCGTTATTTTTTACGTTTTAGTTGTTTTTTTTTGTTTTTAAGCGTTTTAAGTGCCCTGATTTTTTTATGTACTTGGAAGTAATCCAAGTATTTTTCTAGTATTAACTACGTTTTACAGAAAAAGGTGCTTTTTTTTTCTTACATTAATATATTTAAACCACATGAACCAAAATTTTAACATACAATAAAACGAGTGAGCCTTACAGTCGTCGCGTATGATGTGTAACATTTGAAAACCTCACCTTATATTAGTAAAAAAGAAATAAAACCTACTACAAAAGCAATAAGCCATTTGAATATTATGTTATAAAATCAAATCAAATAGCACGCGCTTTCGCGACCTCCTGTAACAAACTTCTGTACCATTACATGAAATCGAGGGGAAAGATGTTACACATCAAAATGGTTGTCTTACTTTTTGGGGATGAACAAAGGAATGGTCTTTCTATGACGGCTGTCACCGAAGAAAGTGTGCAGACAGTAAAAAAAATAATTCCAGAAAACAGAATAAATAAATAATATAAATATCAAATATCCCTATTTTTTGGAAGCTTTTCATATAACATTGTTCAAAGACCATTTCTTAGAATTTAAAAAATTCTATAATAAGGATGAAATTCCAGTTGATCTACCCATAAATGATTGTATACAATTGTTATCTATTGCTCTACTAGTACACTAGTGCTTATAATCTCAAAGGAACCTAAAAAGTCATAGTAATGAAAAAAGTACCCTAACTATTATACAATATAAGAGCGGATCATAAGCTGATTAATAACTCACGGAAGATTATGTAAAATGCAAACAAAATTAACAAAACTTCACTCTGACCTGAAAAACTGAACCAAAGGTAATCATGTCTTAAAGATTTCTTAACAATATTAAAAGTTAGAGTTATACCTGACTCTTCAGCAGCAACTTCAGATTCTTGACTTGTAACATTATTCTCAGAAATATCAGGGATTGTGTCCGGTGGTTGGTTTTCGGCTAAAGGCGATACTTCCGCGCCATCGGCCATATCACTGTGCAATGCAGAGTCTGATTCCATTTATACAAACAATTAACTCTCACACAATTAATACACTTTGGAATATTGATATTTACCAAATATCACACAGAAACAAAAGGCATTTTAGGAAATAACGTAAAAATTAAATTATTTTTGACAATGTCAAGTTGGTTGTTCGTTTGGCGTCGTGATTTTTTTTTGTTGAAGTTCTCCCGTTTTAGGGAAGGCAAAGGGAACAATGCCCATACAGCCTAGTCTTTAATTTAATTAATCTTCTTTTGTTTTTAGATTAGAATGTCGGTGTGACGCGTTCTAATGTTTCCTGGAGTGTTTGGCACGAAATCGAGTTGGCTTTTTCGATAAGCTTCTGTGAGGTAGTCAACACTACAATAAAATTCTCACGTCTACTTGACCGGAATAGCGTATATTTTAACGAACCCACTAATTCTTCAGTTACGCAGACAGTTGTTACACAAAACCACACCAATTTTATTTCACAATATCCACTATGAACGAATTTAAGAATAATGAAAATAAGACGCCAACCGCACTCGATGAAATCCCGCCAAAAACCTCGTGATAGGCATGCGTCCGATATATCAAAACGAATCCAAAATCCGATTTCAAACACAAATCGATACCGAACGATTTCTCAACAAGAAAATCCGATTTCAGAAATCTAACCGAACCAAAACGCTAGCGATCTAATACCATAAGTATCCAAATGTAAATCGGATTCGAAATTCGTGCTTTCGTTTTCGGAAGTCAGATTTCGTGCTCGGAAGTCCGATTTCGATTTGCTGTTTACGGAAATCTATTGCTCTTCTCTGAGGCGGGATTATTTATCACTAAAAAGATATGTCGTCTAAAAACATCAAAAGTCGAGCAACTTACATTTTTGGACGCTAACCTGAAGTAATTAGGTTTGATTTTGTAAATGGTTTGAAAAATAATAAAAACAAACAGAAAAACAAAAAAAAAATACTAAAAAAATATGTAAAAAGAAATCATTGTATATAAGTCGATTTTTAAATGCGCCGCAAAAGTTTTACTCTTAACCGTAAACATAACTTTTCTGCTAGTCCTAAGCGAAAATCTACGAGTATTCTTGCTTCCTACAATTAATTGTTTGTGATTGTCGTTAGCTAATAAAACCAAATCAAACACAAACTAGTGAATTGGCTAAGTTTGGCACATCTGAAATCGGATATCTAAAAACGGATTTTAAAATCGATTTTGAAATCTGAAATCCGATAAATATCCGTTTGCGTTCAAAACCAAAAACGCCCATGTCTACCTCGTGATTTTTTTTTGACAAGTAGTGACAATTACTTTATTATTTACTCTCTCTTTCTGGGAAGGCAAAGGATATTAAGTCCATAGTCCATTTCATTTTACCATAGATATATAGATTGAACATTTTACATTATAGTGCATTGAGCAACGCGGCCAACGCTCTGAGTACTGAAACCTATGGAGATGGCAAACCTATGAAAAAAATGTATACATAAGTAACTAGTTTCTAGGAAACGACAATGGCGCGTTTCCATAATGCTGTCCCAAGGCTACCCCATTGTATATATCAATATCTTTATAAAAAAAGACATATAAAGTAAAAAATTAATACTATTTTTGGAAAAGGGTGTATTTTTTATATGCAATTGGAGTACTTTTAAGGACGCGGCATTAAAAAATATACTCCTATTTGAAAAAGAGTCGTTATTTTTTACGTTTTAGTTGTTTTTTTTTGTTTTTAAGCGTTTTAAGTGCCCTGATTTTTTTATGTACTTGGAAGTAATCCAAGTATTTTTCTAGTATTAACTACGTTTTACAGAAAAAGGTGCTTTTTTTTTCTTACATTAATATATTTAAACCACATGAACCAAAATTTTAACATACAATAAAACGAGTGAGCCTTACAGTCGTCGCGTATGATGTGTAACATTTGAAAACCTCACCTTATATTAGTAAAAAAGAAATAAAACCTACTACAAAAGCAATAAGCCATTTGAATATTATGTTATAAAATCAAATCAAATAGCACGCGCTTTCGCGACCTCCTGTAACAAACTTCTGTACCATTACATGAAATCGAGGGGAAAGATGTTACACATCAAAAAGGCAACAATATTTGCTGTCACCTTTATTTAGTTTTTTCACTATCTATTAAGCAATAAATTAATATTAGTATTACATATAAATCTTAAATTCAAGATTGTTCACTATTTGCTACGGCGTGAATTTAAGGTATGTTCTTTGAAAGGTGTCACGTGTAGCTGTTATACATTTATATAGATAATAATAGATGTCACCA